AACTTTGCTTCTCACTTTGCAAGGAAGGCGTTTAACGACTTGGCCGAGTACGACTTCGTCAAAGCCAAGCACGCCGACCGCCTCCAGGACCTGCTAGACAGGCCCTATGAGGACATCCTCGCGGAAGAGATCATCGACTCTTTGCCTTCGCGCACTGTCGCGGAGGAAATGGAGGTCGAAGATCAGCCCGCTCCTGCTCCTGCACCGGCCTCAGACATCCACGAGCTCAATCTTTCGAGAAGGCTTGATCTTCAACAAGAGCTGCCTCAGATCGTAGGTGATGCCCAGGATGGCGGGATCCGGACCACGCTGCAGCTTTTTCTGACCCACGCCGAGTTCCGGGACAGGTTCGCGGCGGCTCATCCGGACGTGATCCTCGTGGACGCCAAGGAGCCGCGCAAGAAGTTCATCGAGAAGATCTCGCGCGACTTCCTCGCGAATGGCGTCGTTCCGTTCTATGAGGCGGCAGAGATCAGGACCCGCTCGGATGTGATTATCACCCGGGCCGGTCAAACCCGCAACGCTGAAGATCTCCTCACCATCACGAAGGCGGACAGCCTGAGCCTGCGGTCGACATAGGGACCTTGTTCAACCGCATCCACGCCTTTTTCATGACGCTCGAGCACTTGAACATTTGTGCCCTCTCGCGCGCAGAGGGTCCGTTGAGGTACCTCCAGGAGCTAGAGCAGTTCCGTGTAGATTGCCCCGGGTTGCCGTTTATCATGGCCGCGGATCGGGGCATCCGGAAGAAAGTGTTCAGGCTCCTCTCGGAGCAACGCAACACGTACGCCAATTACTCGGCGGCTTTTCTGGAGGTGCTGGTCAACTACAAATACATATGGAACGAAGCTCGCACGAAAGCTCATCTTTCCTCACTCCCCCAATCAGGCTGGCCAAGGCAGATGCGGACAGATCCCTGGACCTGGGGGCGGGGGTGGCTCCACCCCCAGCGCCTTCTGATGATCATCGTCCCCGGCGCCCGCGCAAGCGCATTCGCCAGGGCTCCGCTAAAAAAGAAGACAAGGAGGAGGAGCCGCCGAAGAAGAACTCCGCGACTCCAGGATCCCCGAGAACGAATGGAAGCTCATCTTTGAGGCCGCGGCGAAGGTCAAGAATGGTCGCC